TACATCCTGAAATTCCCAATCATAATAGCAGGAGACAGTGGTGGCAAAGAGAGAAGTGACCGTAACAGCCAACAAGTGTTAGGCACTGTGCCAAAAGCCCTACAAGAACTACTTCCTTTACTCATCACAACACTGTGATGTGCCTACATACATTATCATTCCCTTTTTAAAGAGGAAGAAATGGGACTCGGGTTAAATCGTTTTCCCAAGGTTACCCAATTAAAACATAGCACAGCCAGGTTTTATCCAAACCTGTGAATCCAGAGTCATTTTAGTTTAATAATTTAATTTTAATACCATAAAACTTATTTTAACAGTTAAAATGTTAAATTTAATATGTAAAATAAATTTTTCTTAAAATTCCAATGCTACAACATATTTAAATAATAACTCAAAACTTCCCATGTATAACAACTTTTTCTACAGAAAATTCTCTAGATGGTTTATTCAAATTCAATGAAAGATTTAAAATTTCCAAGAAACCTTTACCTTCATTTGCAAATACATACTCATCTTTCCAGATCTCAAGAGTTTGTTCCAGAGCTCATCGTGGGTAGCCACAAATGAATTTAAAAGTTTCAAAGCCACAAAAATATTTATTCACTAGAAAGACAAATGCCACAGTGATCTCTTAGAATCCATCAACACACATCCACAAAGAAAGGAAGCCTGTAGCATATTCTTGCACAGTGCTGCTGCTACCACCTCCCCAGGACATTAATTCCATTTCCACATGCCATGCCAATGCAAATAAAAATGTGGCCACTGGTTGAAATGTACCCACTCGAGAACATCAAAAGAGTCAGTAAGCATTATTTGCAGCAAGCCTAAATACTTGTACCTGAACACAGTATTTCAATTTCAATTTCTCTACAACCAGGTACTGGCTATGTATATGGAAGTTTCGGTAATGGCAATGTCTGTGTTTTTCAAGTGTGTTTTAACTGTTGGTATAACTACAGGTATCCCTAATGCCCTCCCTGCCCAAAATTTATTAATTAGAAAAAAGAAGGGGGTTCTTAAAACCTTGCACCTAGTTGGCTGCCTGATTACAAATAAAACATTCTGTATATGCTAAATGTTTCAGGCTAAAATAGAGTCCAAAATGACTTCATTTATGATGAAAAATATGGTATTTTTCTCCAAAATCTACAAATACACTGCTTTTCTTTAAGATGAATACTTACAAATAAAGCTATCAAGTTATAAAGGGACTACTACTTTTGCTTTCCAGTATAATTGCTCTTTTCTACCTCATTTTGTATTGTTTGTAATAAAATAAATCACAATTGAAAAATGGGAAAAAACAAACAATACAGTGGAGGCCCTTTGTTATGCTAGGTTATAAAGGCACACAAATTCACCAAATGCACTTCTAACTGTGCAGAGTTCACGTGGGGGTCTGAGCTGTATAACGAAGAGACACGATAAATTGAAAAATGGGAAAAAACAAACAATACAGTGGAGGCCCTTTGTTATGCTAGGTTATAAAGGCACACAAATTCACCATATGCACTTCTAACTGTGCAGAGTTCACGTGGGGGTCTGAGCTGTATAACGAAGAGACACGATTGTAAAGAAGTGTGGAGCACTGGCCAGGGGCTTCCAACTGTAATACTCCAAATTTTGCAGTTCACTAGGGTGTCCCAAAAGGCTAAATGGGGGCCTGCTCCCCACATCACCCATAACAACCTGACTTTTCTTATTTTACTTATGGTGATATTGTACAGTATTTCATTTAAAGAAAGCATTATCTTGCCAGAATAAAGTTTGTAAAACACTCACCCAGAGGACTACTGGGAGAAACATTAGGTTGAAAGTCAATTAACATTCGTTAATGAACTATAGGATTACATTAATGAATATTCAGTCACATTTTCTAAATACAAAGAATGACTTTGTCAGAGCTGGCATAACTTCCCAAATAACATAAGCTGTTAAGAATCATTGCTCTTACCTGCAAAATAAAGCTCAAGAACCTCAAGACCTTTTTTGAGGACTGTAGAATAAATTATTGCATTTTATGTATTATTTTGTTTCCTAAGATAATTTTTAACAATTCCAGGGTAGGCAGAGATGGTTTCAAAATTATAACCAGACTTTATGATTTTCAGGGGCAAATACCATATTTAAAGAGTTTTTTTCAAATAAATGGGAATTTGTGAGATCCTATGATCCGACTTTTTTGCCCACTGTTATTTGGAATATCCCAACTTCATTACTTGGTTCAGCACTTATCTTTACATCAGCAATAAGCAAAAATGTATAGGCTTACTATATGCCTACGCTTATGCTTAGTGCTTGAGAGCACCACATCATCAACAGCTCAGGCAGACCACAATTATGAAAGTCAAATAATAAAAATAGTGTAAAAGATTACGTGAATGACATGGCCTGCAGAGTTCAAAGAAGGAAGAGATCACAGTTCAAGGAAGAGTTACAAAAGGCTTCCCAGGGAATGTAGGACTTAGGCTGGGTGCCTATGCACTTATGTGGATCAGTAGACTTGCTAAAATATCTAACTAGGAGAATATATACTTGTCAATAACTCACAGAAATATATACTAAAAAGGAGGAGATTTACCACATGTAAGTTATATCTGAATGAAAACAAGGGGAAAATCCACATGTAAATGACAACTCGGAAGACAATTTCTATATGTCTAAAATGCCTCGGAAGGCATTTTCTATAAAATTTAAAACACAGGTGCTCTATGACTTAGCAATTCCCCCTCTAGGGACATATTTTCCAGTTATATCTGCAGAGTGCACAATTACTCATTAAATAAGAGGACAGTCATTGCAGCACCATTTATAAAGTTAGAAAATCAAGTATCTCCCTTAATAAAATAATGAATATTTAGTGAACCCTTAGGTCTAATATCAAACATTAAGGTCTATAAATATCCAAAATTAGTTCTGGAAGACAAGTTGATTTGCACCGATCAAAATGCCAAAAAATGCAATCTCTTAATCTATAATAAACTGATTCACTACTCACAATCTATTCAAAAAAACTTCCAAACACAGCTGAGTACAGACATGGCATTCTGTTCTCCAAGTTTAATCATTTATTGACTGATCTTCCTGGTACTGGAGTTCATGAAAACACAGAACTCTGCAGCCTGGTGTGATTCACAGCCACCCTACTTATCCACCACTGGCACCAATGTGTGCTATGGTCCACACAATCTATCCTGAGTATCTGTTGCTTTAACTTTCCAGCATCGGTTTTCTAGAAGTAAGACAAAAAGTAGAGAGAGAGAGGAGAACCAATGGAAGAGCTCCTAAGTTTTAACAATCAGATGTTAGAAACAAAAGTGGAGGTCTTTTTGTACATAACTAATCATAAAGACCTTAAAGGAAAAGACTAATAAATTCTAATAATTCTGCATAGCAAAAACCAAATAAATTTAAATTTAAAATCACTATTAAAATTTTTAAAAAATCAAAATCACCTTTGTGGTGGTAGGATTTGTAATACTTTTGGACAAAGGACACAAGTATTCAAAAGGTTCTTGCCAAATAAAAAAACATAAGTAACCAAATATAAAATGCACAAGAAATTTACTGAAGAGCTATAGATTACTAAAGCAAGCATAATCACAACTTTGAAAAATGAAACAACAACAAAAAAAATGACATCAATATGCGTCTACCAAAAACAATTAAGGAGGGGGTGGGAACCATAATAATCAGTGTTGGTGAAGGCATCTGGTTTTTACACACATGAATTAATATAGCCTTTTGGAAGGGCAACAGAGAACTTTCAATATCAAAAATTATTCATACTGAGCTGGCTGGTTAGCTCGGTTGGTTAGAGCGTGGTGCTATAAAATTATCCATATAATTTCACTTCCAGAGAGTGTGCTGAAAAAGTATTTACACAGCATAAATATATGTGTAGATTTTCAAGTGGTACCGTTTGTTGTTTTTTTTTTAAAGATGACCAATAAGGGGATCTTAACCCTTGAGTTGGTGTTATCAGCAACACGCTCACCCAATCAGCCAACCGGCCATCCCTATATGGGATATGAACCCATGGCCTTGGTGTTATCAGCACCACATTCTCCCAAGTGAGCCACGGGCCGGCCCGCACCATTTTTAATATCAAAAAACACAGACACCTAAAAGTCTATCAATAGGAGACTGGGAAGGGAAATTGTGCTGTATTCATGGAAATATAAGAACTATACTGTCACTAAAAAGAATAAATTCAGTCCACTTATGGAAAAATGCTAAAGATAAACTGTTCACTAATGTTGCAGAAGAGTATGTGCAACATGCCACTGTGCAAGGACCATTTCTGGATGGATTATAAGTCAAGGTGTAAACAAAAGAAGTACCCTGAATGGTAATAGTAACTAAATGCAGAACTGAAGTAAAAGGGATTCATTTTCTATATTATACATTGCCTTATTTATTGTTTTACTCTTTAATGGTAAGAATGTTTTACTTTTGAAATCAGAAAATAAAAATTTTTAAGTGTACAGTCATGACAAGAGAAAGAAAAGTTAGTTCTCAGTAGGAAGATCTGTTCTTAAAATGCAAAGCTTTATGTCCCTCTAGTACATAAACTACCCAGATCAGCCAAAAATCTCACCAAAACATAGCTCTTCACTAGATTCCATGGCCACCTCAGCTAGATGATTTACAGGGATTTAAGAATCTGAAGGCATGAGCATATCACATTTAAACACATGGATCCCCATGTAGGCCAGCCACCAAAAAAAAAAAAAAATGGACAAGTTCAACAACACTAACATTAAGAAAGCTGTATTTAAAAGAAAAACACAACCATAAAACTTTGAAAATGCGAAGTCACAAATGAATAACCGATCAAATAAATTATTTTCCATTGCTATTTGTTATACTTCTAAATTGTGCTCATAAATTTTAAACTTTACCCTTAAAGTTGCCTCTTCCACATGAGATATAAGAATATTTCAGTTTCAAGATATATGTGTTTTCACAGGACTTGAACCCAGAGAAAAACATACCTTCTACAAGCATTTCTGGAATGTCTGCTTGATATCTGGGTCCTACTCTGATTTCACCTTTGTCAGCTAATAGCGTTTTCACTGAGGGGTCATAGACCAATGAGTAGAAAAAGGTATCCTGAAAAAAATGACAGAAAATATCTAGGTAAACATAATTTGTTCTACTTTTTATAAAGTGAAAAAATCAATGTCACAATAAAGAAAGCATAAAACTTCAGCATGTATGAATTTTGGTAAATAAATTCATAAATCTTTAAGGAGAGCATGGTGTTATCATGATCATGTAAAATAGTGCAAAATTAAATGAAGCCAAAAAAAAATTAAATAGAAACAGAATAGTGCAAAATTAAATCAAGCAAAAAGAAATAGAAATGTTTTATTATTTGTTTTGGTCTAAAAGAAAACTACTTCTCAACTGCCATTTGCAACAACATGGATGGACCTTGAGAGAATAATATTGAGTGAAACGAGTCAGGATGAGAAAAAGAAGTACCACATGTTCGCACTTATTGGTGGGAGCTAAAAAAAAAATAAACAAATTAATTTACCCACAAACACACACACACACAAAAAAAAAAACCGGGGGTGGGGGGTGGGGAAGAAGATATAACTACTATACTTTTTTTTTGAAGTTGTTACAACAAGCAAACGGAAAGGACATTCTTGGGGGGGAGGGGAGAGAGGGAGGAGGGCGGGAGGTGTCGGTGAAGGGCCATAATAATCATATACATTGTATATTGACAAAATAAAAAAAAATAAAAAAAAAAAGAAAACTACTTCTCAAACAGAGAGGAGAGAGAAAGAGAGAGAGAAGGAGAGAGACTGATTCCCTAAAGATTGGTAAAGGACTGTGATTAAAAATCAAGTAAGTCAAGTGGATGGGAGAAAACTGTAAAGATCTTTGCTAATTTTCATCTACTAAAGTTTTTAGCATATACAAATTGCTAACAACACTAAAGTATTTATTTCATAAAGCCAAAAATATTTATCTACTATCAACTAAAGCATGTGCTATTCTTCATAAAATCTTTCATTACTGACTGAAAAACAGACACAGGGGTTTTTATTAACTCTTATCTCAGCTAAGCAGAAAAATCAAACTACCTGAATGCATTCTAGTCACTACACATTTACTATAACACTGCTTTAACGGTGCAATAATACTTTGGTACAAAAAAGAGATAAATTCAAAATTATGGGCTTCGTGTCAAATAAAGGGGGAAAAAAACACTAAACAAGTATGATTGTGACTTACCTCTTTATCAAGATATGACAATACTGATTCTGTTTCATTCAGAAGTGCAACACTGCATTTTCCCCTGTTGAAAGAGAAAATAAATAAATAAATAAATAAACGTATGAAAAGCCACCTTACATTCACAGGGATGACATACAAAGTTAGGAAAATGCAAAATTAAGAAAGAGATGGCATTTAAGAATATATTTAAATGAATATATTCAGACTATTTCGACCTGCCTTACACTTCTGGTGCTGGGTAACCTATAAAATAAGATTGTCTTTGTAGACATTTATTGAGAGGCTAACCTGTGGAAGGAATTGTGTTAGGCAGTAAATCCTCACAACATACAACACTTTATAGGTATTCCTGATTATTCAAGGGAAAAAAAAGAGTACAATGAGACCTTCAGACTAAGAGTTTCTGAATCTATAAACAGACATTATGAGGTATGCACTAGGGATCTTCATCACCATACAAACTGGTGTGTAAAACAACGTTCAGATTTTTTAAGTAACCACAGCATATGAGAACCTAAAAACAATGTAATTCAAATCAGTGTGTAACTAACTTACCTTTATTGAAACTGCTCTAAGGTCTAGTTAAAATTTAAACATAGGATCTTCTATAGAGCAAGGGGCAGAATAGAGATCTACAAATTCACAGACCTTGAGGCCTGCGAGCTTTTACCTTTGACCGCAGTCCTGGGCGTGACAGTTTGGAAATGAATGTTTATTTTTAAAAGGCTTGTCTAGACTTTGAGAAAAATTAAGGTTATCCAATTAAAAGATTTACAAGCACTTTCAAAACTATCCTCACCCACTTGAAAAATTCAGTATAACTATAAATTTGACAGGAGAATTTTGATAGATTATTCAGGTTACAGATAATGGCCAGAGCTCACAAAATATATTTAAAATGCCATAACATCATTTGATTTTCTAAACAAAAGCCACAACATCCCTAAACACCAACATGTGAAAACAAATACATCACATGTACATTAAATAAGAAGCTAGAATAGCTTGCTGTAAAATTACCAAAGTGAAAAAAAATTCAAAGAAAAAAAATTACCAAAAGCAAAATAAAATACCAGAAGTAAAGTGCTAACACATTGCTCAACAGTTATAGTTTTCTAAATATTTTGCAACTCTACACTCTTTAAATTAAAAAAAAAATTATAGAAACATCTTTCTGGTAATCATCTTAGGTTAATGTCACTTAGAAAGCTTTCTCTGAGAGCATGTGGTATTTCCATATTATACTGTCAAATCTCTAAATTGGTTACCAGAAGAGTTATAAATGTTTTGTTTTTCTAATATATTTTATTCATGCTTATTAGTAAAACAGAAAAAGTAACATTATTACTGAAAAACACATAATAATACTCACAGTCAACAATTTCTTGACATACACTTACAAAGGACAGAACTGCAACCAAGAAAATTGCTCTGTTGCCATTAGCACCTCTACAGTTACCACACAGAATAAGTCCTATGGCCTGGGAATATGTGCCCACACACGCAGCACAATGAAGTAATAAATGGAGTTTCTAAAAATAGTTTTCATTTATTTTTTTCCATTCCATAACAGCTGACAAAGCAATACTTCTCACATTTAATACTTAATCGTCTAGAGGAAATAATGCCCTTTTTTGAAGTTCTCTAAACTCAGGTTTGCTTTTTAATAGGGAGAAGCAAAACCTACTGACTGTTATTTTAATACACACCACTGTCTTTAATACTCAGTTGAATTTTATGGGTTAACAGACACTGAAAATTCATATAAACAATATAGTATACTTAAAAGTCTCTTCCATGCAGTCTGAAGTAACAAAAGAATTTAAATTATCAAGCCCTTATTTTCAAAATTAGGAGATAAGGAATCATTGGTTATGCAGTTTTAGAACACAACATGACTACCAAAAAATATAAACAATACCCCAGTCAACCTAAAATATAAATTGGTTCTGGGACTGTAGTTTTATGCAAAGATGAAAGGATAATACGTGATTTTAAGTTTTTAAATTTTCTTTAATGCAGCTACATTGTACTTTTTCCTAAATTAAAATGAAAATCTAAGACTTAAGATTCTCATGTACATATATTAACAGCTAACAAAGAGGCTGAATCAGAATTACTTTATGAAGTAAATATGAATATGTAATTAACCCATGTACTACCATGCCCAGAGATGCTGATAAAAGTAGTTTAAAAAAGATGTTTAAAGCATTGGCTTCCTTTATGCCAAACAAATCTTGGCTCATAGAGTAAAAACATGGTAAATTTAAGCTAACGCCAATCTAAAGGAAATACAGTCAGCCCTCCATATCCATGGGTTCTGCATCCATGGATTCAACTGAGGATCAAAAATACGTGAGGAAAAAACAAAACAAAACTGCATCTGTATTGAACATGTACAGACTTTTTTCTTGTCATTATTCCTTAAACAATAAAATATAACAACTATTTATGTAGCATTTACATTATATTAGGTATTATAAGTAATCTAGAGATGATTTAAAGTGTATAGGAGGATGTACCTAGGTTATACAGGCAAATACAATGCCATTTTATATCAGGAACTTAAGTATCCACAGACTTTGGTCCTGGAACCAATTTCCCATGGATATGAAGGGACAACTGTTACAACCAAATTCTGAATATAGATAACCCAATTGACTTATACCTGAACTCAAGCAATGAACCTAATTGTGCCTCTTATACAATATTTTAATCCTTCAGGAATAAAGATACCTAAACATGATATAAAGCACACCAAGAGCATAACACAAAGAAATACTACTGCAGACTCATACTGCTTTTATATAGGGAACCATAAAGGCGTACAGAATTGCTATAGAGATAATATACTTTCCCACAGATCACTCATAAAGTTTTTGAAACTAAACTGTTCCAAAGACTGTGCAGGATGCTGGGATAGAAAAACATGTGAATAAAAAATTATGATACAACACGGTCCCATATTTAATGGCAGGTGCTGATCAGCCTGGAATCTGAAGCTTCCTTAATAGTATGTCCAGTATAACCCTACAGATTCAAAAACCATGTGTAAAAATGTGCATACAGGTTATATATTTTATCTAAAGATGTTACACATTTGTATAAATGAAAGATGATGAAATTAGTGGTCATTTCACCACTGCCTAGACTTTCCTTTAGTTTGATACAACTGAGGCTTGTAAAATAGTTCAGAACCACAATCCCTGCTTAGAAAAATGCAAATTTATTAGTGTCATGACAGACTTAACTGAATCCCACTATCTTGGGGATGGATCCAGGAATCTACTTGATTAATAAGCATCACCAGGTAATCTTTACATACACCAAACTTGGAAAACCACTTCTACAGATGCAAAGTCTTACTTTAAACTCTTCTTGTTCAATGAAAGCCATTATTTCTTCATTAAAGAAATGCATTTTTCTTTTGGCTTTCTGAACATTTTTTCATATGAAAAACAATCTCAAAATACTAAGCTCTGTGATTGGAAATTCAGTGAATAGACAATTTTACAAAGCAACAACCAAATTAAAAAATAATGAAGTTCAAAGATATAAAATGCTTTCAAAAGATCAGATTTCTCAAAAGTAACACTGTAAGATAAAATAAAAGATTCAAAATTCTGAGAAATGATTTCCAAACCAGAATTATATGCCTAAACAAATCATAAACTAAGTGTGAGAAAGCTTTTCAGAAATGCAAGGAATAAATTTTTTTACATTTTAGAAGACCAATCAAAAAGAAAAGGCAAAACAACATTAACTCCAAAGAAAACAAAAGGTACAAGAAAGAATATATGAGGAATATTTATATGTACATAAAACACAAAGATTATTAAATAAAAGCTATGATAATACTGGAAACACAAGAGAAAGAAAATAGGGAAGAGAGAGAAAATAAAGAGGAATTTCTAACATTGAAAAATAGTAGCAATATAAGAATGGTGAAAATGCAGAAGCCACTGTCAGAGGGGTTGAAAATGATTACAAAGTAGAAACCACATATATGGCTCCCTTTATATACTATTAGACAAGTATATACATATATTTGATATTAAAAAATAAAATTTAAATTTAAAATGAAAGGAGGATCTTAATTACATAAAGTGCATAAATGTGTATGACTACTATACCAAGAGGACAAGGATTATTTGTGATGACTCTACATCAGGTTTTCTCAACCTTGCCATCACTGATTGACATTTTGGACCAGATAATTCTTTATTGTCTGTCCTATGCACTGTAGGATATTTAGCAGCACCCCTGGCCTCTACCCACTGGATGACAGTAGCCCCAGCTACTGTGACAATGAAAACTGTCCAGACATTGTCAGATGTCCCCCGTGAAACAGATCGCCCTTGGTTGAGAATCACTGCTCTTCATTATGGAGTCAATGAACCATGGTTTTTCTTAACTATGTTTTAGTAATAAACATTTAAGATGGCCTATATAAGTGAAAGTATGTTTTTATAAATCTTTAGTTTATAAAAAAAGAGAAGCACAATGAGGAGAAAAGAAATCTGGAAACCTTTAAACATTTCTACTCAAAATTTATTTTCTGTTAATACAGTACTGCTTTAACAGATATTAACAAATAAACATTAAAAGGAAGCCAAAAAAATAAAAAATAAAAATCTGGTTAAGGAGGTAAAGTAGAAGAACAAAAAGCCAAGAAGGTAAGTTTGGGCTTAACATAAGAGATTAATGGATTTTGTGAAGAAAAATGATGGACAAGTAGTGTTTGAGGAAGGTCATTCTGTCCTTAGAATGTGGAGACTACTGAAGAGACCATGATTCTGAAGATTTGATACCAAATATGAAAGAAACTGTCAAAAAGGAATAAAGGGGGGAAAAATCCTTCTCTTGATACCACATTTCTCTTTTTTAAGAGAAAGTGCAATATTCCAAAGAAGGTAGTAGATGTTGGGAAGATCCTCCTCTCCAGGACAGGTGACAAATAAATGGTTTCAATCATCAGAAAAATCTCACAGATGGTTCCACAACATGTGGAACACCAGTACTTGGAACAATACACGGGGATATAATTGGCATCCAACCCAG